TAAAAATGTTATAAATAATTATAGAATGATAATTCTATATTAAAAATGGAGAATAGCAACTTTGAGGATAAAACCAAAGAAGATATTTGTCAATTAAAAATCATGGTAAATATTTTAAAATATCTTAATATACATACATACATCCTCTTTGTATATATGTACATATTTATACATATTTATACATATTTATCTTATATATATCTAATATTATCTATATTTAATTATTATTATAATTTTAAAATTATAAATTCCTTAAGATAACATCTATATTATCTTTTTTTTTCAGTTAAAAGACCTTCAAATGCAATTATGCTTTACTGAAAATAACTATTGTAGAGTTACCGAAGACTTTAATAAAGCACAAGAACAATTAATCATAATGACAAAACGGGAAGCTGATTTACAAGAATGTTTAACAAATATGGTATGGTATTATTTTTTAAAAATGTTTTATTTAACATTATTTATTTATTTTAGATATTTAATTTATATAATTTAATAATAAAAAAATTTTTTTATCTTTTTATTTAATTATTTTAGGAAAGAGATTATTGTTTAAAATTATCAAGTATAGAGAAAGAAAAAGTTATGCTTGGAAATTGTTTAGATAAGCTCAGAGATGAATTAGAAGAAATTCAAACAAGTTATTCATCAAAAAGTACTGAACATTGCAATCTGCAAGATATTTGCAAGTCTTATGTAGAACAATTAGATATTTTACAACAACAGGTGAAATTAATTTAATGTTTATATATTTTTATATATTTTTATTATATATTTTTTTAATAATATTAATTTCAAATAATAATTTCAAATATTTCAAATATAACTTCAAATAATTTCAAATGTTTTTTATATTTTTAGATTGAAAAAGAAAGAGAAAAATTTAAACAAATAGAAGAATCAAATCGCTGTATAATACAGCAATTACAAGAATACAAAGAACAAAATAATGATCTTGTTAAGGAAAAATCTATAATAGAACAAAATAATTGTGAAATTATTTCAGAAGTGAATATTGAATTATTTTTACAACAAAATATTTTAATATATAATTTCAATAAAAATTATTTATAAATTTTTGAATTTTCTTTAGTTACGAGAGACGCACAAATCCTTATTGGAATTAAAAAGAGAATGTCAACTGAAAAATAAGTCTTTGGCTTGTATATCAGCAGAATTAACAGAAACAGCAATGAGTAGATCAGAACTTTGTAATCAATCGCAATATGTTGTTTCTTGTATACGTATTTGGATGGAAGAACAACGAGAATATGTAAACAAACTTAGTGCAAAATTAAAATCTCAACAACAGGAATTAGTACAAATTGGATTTGAGAAAAAGTATGTATTTTCAGAATTCTCAAAACTAGATTAATATATACTTTTAAGGATTTATAAGTTTATAGTTACTAAAAAATTGTGAATAAAATAATTTACAGAGTATTAATAGATGAAACAAAGCGGTTAAGACATATCAATCATGTATTAATGCAAAGATTAAAAAGAGTATATCGATATAGTAATAAGAATGTTAGAAATGTTTGTGTAGGATGTCAAATATTACCAAAAAATATTGATACACGTTTTCCTGTAAACTCCAAATATTTATCATCACAGAAGGTAATTAAAAAAAATATGATCTTTTACTTTTTTTTTATTATATTTTATTACATTTAAAATTCAATATTTTGATTTATTTATATTTGAAAAAAACTAAAACTATTAAGAATTCAATATTTTTAATTTTGAATATTTTATAATTCATATTGTTGAAGATTTTATAATTCATGATATAATTAAGAAAAACAATATTTACATAAATATATATATGTGTAAATATATATATATATATTATATTATATATATATATTTAATTTTAGCTTATAAAAAATATTAAATATTAATTCCTAATAATTTATTTATATTCATTTTCTAAAACTATTTATATTGATATTCAATCATTCATTTAATTATACTAAAAATTCAATTATTAAAATATTTTATTAAATATTTAATTAAATTATATTTTGATTTATGGATTTTTATACATATACATATATATTATGAATTATAAGTTCTTTTTATGTATTTTTCATTATCTCTAATTAAAATATTTTTTTTATTTAGAAACTAAATTTCATGAAGGCAACACGACGTATTTCAGTGTGCAATAATGGTTGGTTGTTTCCTAAAATGAAATATTTAGTAAATGAATTACAAAAAAATAATATAGAATGTAGTGAAAACTGTTTTAACAGGATGAATACAGATGTAAGATTAGAAGAAAATCATGATTGCGGTTATCAATCATCTACGAGTAAATGATATGTAGAATTGCTATTATCTATTAGAATGAAAAAGAATTGTATTTTGTAATACACATACAAATGATTAAATTATTAATTTATCAGACTATTTTATACTATTTTCTATACAATAGAATTTCTTTTTTATTCATAAATCCTAATCAATTCGAAAATGTAAATATACATTGAGTAAAAAATATAATTATTAAGTGCTTTTTTTTTTAATTTTTCATAATTAAATTTTTTGAAGCACGTAATTTTATAGTAAAATGATAATTTGTATGACAAAGAATATGGAGTAATACAAGATTTTTAATATATAATTTATGAAATAATTCAAGCAAAAGTTTGCATTCTGTTATAGTAAATACTTCCAGTCCTTTTGGAGGATACTAAAAATGACATATTGTAAATTTTAAAAACGTTTACTTATTAAATAATATTATGATAAAAATGAAAATACAAATATACAATACAAAAATACAAACATTATCTAATTCATATGCATTGATAAATTGCATATAAATTTCACTTAAATGTTATTTCTTTCTTTTAAATGATAATTTTTTTTAAACTTTTTATTTTTTTATATTAGTATTTACTATTTTATACTACATAAATTATATAAACTATATAAATTTGCTTTTTAATTACAATATTATTTAAAAACACAAAATAGAATTATGCATTTGTTCATGTAAGTAAGATTCATTATTTTTTAACATATGTATTTAGTTACAATTTTTTGATAGGTATATTATAGGAATATTATAAAAAAATAATTATATTATTTAATAAATAAAAATTAATCAAAAAATATAATTTTATCTTTTGTTTATATCTAAAAAAAAAAAATATAAACACAGTTATCAAAATTAAATTAAGAAAATGCATATGAAAAGAATTTGTATGTTTGTATGTTTCTAAAAATCATAGCATTCATTAAAAAAAAACAAATTATAATATAAAACTGAATAATTTGATAAATTTGATAATATACAAACCAAAACAACATGTAATAAAATAGTTTTATTAAAAAATTGATAGACTTCTTGAATTGTCAACCATGGATGTGAAAGAAAAAATAAATGTGTTAAATACACAATACCCAAACATGCAGAAATGCTTTTCTCAGTGAATAAATTTAATCTAAAATATAATTTATAAATATTGATTTATAGATCATGATTAATTTTTGAAATATTTAATTAAAGAAACAAGAAGATATATAATATAAATATGAAACTATTACATAAATTAAAAAAACAAAGTTTTTATTTTCAATCTATAATTTATATTATATATCAGCGACATAAATTTTTAAATAGAATAAATTTTTTATAACTTTAATATATTCAAATACCTAGCAAATTTAAAGAATTCCCATAATACATTTGAAACAACAGTATTATTTTTTACTGTAGTTTCATTTAACAATTTATTTTCTGGAAAAAAATTATATTAATTTATCTTACATACATAATTAATATTTATCAGAGAAATATATATTTATTTACCAAAAAAAGAAACTATCATATTTTTATTTTCTTGATTTTTTTTTAGATAAGTTATGTCCTCTTCTGTAAAATATTTCCAAATGCACAAACTTGGACACGGTATATCAATATACTGACTATAAAGAGGATTTTTTGAGTATATCCACGGTCCGCACAAATCGTCATAATTTACATCTGAAACGATTTGAATTTCTGAACAAATTTTTCGTGAAATTGTTCGAATATGTGATATTGCATATTCTGATAAAGTTGAACGTTTAACATTTATAATCGGTTTTAATTGCTCTTTTTGACCATTGATTTCAATATGATTTTTTATTGTAAATTGATTTGACATTATTAAATATTTTCTATTAAAGAACAAGCTATATATATATATATTTAAAAATTAGGTACATGTAAAGATTAAATTGTGGACATTCAAATTGATAGAGAAAATGGAATAGTAATTAACGGTTTGTGTTGATCGTGTTTTTAAAA